CTTCAATTAAACATTTTGATTTGTTAGAATCGTTATCGAATTTAAAATATAACTTTTCAACTGGATTCCGCTTGCCCATATTACCGTTTAACGTTTTAACAAAATATTTTAATAATAATTTAGTTACCTACTTGACATTCGCACGACAACTTAACGCGAATTGACAGTACGCACTGGTGTATTTCAAATAAACACCATGAAAATACGAAATCACATTATCACAAATCGTTATACCGAAAATTATTAAGCTAATAAACTGCAATGATAATAGTATCAACATTTAATTATTTAAGTTATAAATAGCTATAACTTTCAATACTCATCGAAAACCTTATGGCTTATATTATTGATAGAAAATCACAAATACCAATAACTTAAATGAATTAATATACGACATTAGTCATTACGACTATATACGGTCTATTATTAATTTGTACGTATATTTTTTTCCAATAACAAGTTATTGCGACTACGTCGGACACTAGGTATATTATTTATTAATAACTAATAACTAATAACTAAGAATTAATAAGTAACCAGTATTGATAAACTTAAACTAATCACTAAATCAATTAGATAGGTACCTATCAAATATTCTGAGAAATTCAAAATCTTAATCTATTGATCAATACCAGCATAAGTGCATAACAGACGGTGTTCACAAAACACGAAAAAATATATAGCAATATATACTAATTACTAGTTGTCTAGGTATATAATATATAATATTTACCTACCTAATAGTATAATAAACTTATATAACAAAATATAAGTGGAATTCAATTTATATTTATTATATCTACAGAGAATTATATAGTTTAACCGTTATATTCACAGAATATCGACTCTCGTTTTAATGTTTTATGTTCGGATATTTCTAAAATATTAAATAACATAATAGTATCAGAAATCATTTAATTTAAAAAACCGGTTAACCACTAAGTAAAAAAAACGGTTTCGGTTTTGGTTACCGTTCAAATAACCACGGGTTTCAATCTCGGACTTGAAAACCGCTCTCTTGTTTTATTGCTCCCGCTCTGGTTACGGTTAAGATAAATCATCAAAACCCAATATTAACCGGTTTTAACCGGTTTTCATAAAACCGGTTTCCGTCCCTGGTATATACACAACAAAATATAAGCGGAATTCAATTTATATTTATTATATCTACAGAGAATTGTTTCCGTCCCTGGCGTCCCTGCTATTTTCACATGTCAAGCTACAGATGGATAAGAATAATTTCTCAATTAAATATAATATATTAACATAAAATTATTTAAACTAATTTCAAAATATTTTTTTCCATTTTCCTACCTAATGATTAATAACATTTATAGCATATCAAAACTGAATGGTTCAAGGTTTACATTTTTAGTTTTTCCATAAAAATAGTACGTACCTATCCAAATTTTGACTAAATAATAATTTGATTTAACTAATATACACACATATTAGGATGTAAGATATTAATACAGTATTCAGCAATATAAAACTTAATCAAAACAAGATAGTATTGTACATTTGTGGTTCTATAAATTCCTCATATATACCTACCTACAAGCAAGAGCTTTGCATTGCCCAAAATTGTTGTTAACCGATCTGAACTAAAACGTCTAAAACTCAATTAAAACCACGACAAAACTGATCGCTTCTGAAACAAAACTAGCCAAACCTAATTTCAGTTCTAAAACGTTAAATTTAAGACCAAATCATCGAGTCGGATCCAACATATTATTTTTAGAAGGCCCACGCCATAAGCTTAACCGCACCTCGGCCCTACCTTCAGCCCTAGCAATTTAATTAAGAGTAAAATAAATGGGGAGTCTGATCCCCCAAAAAAATAACATTAGTTGTTACTAAATTTAAATGTAATTCAATTAAAATTGTATTTGATTATTATTATGTGTGTATACGAACCATTAAAAAATTGAAATGTGGTGAACATTAAATTATTAAAGTATTTTATTTTAGTGACAAATTCAAGATTTAAATTTTCTTAAAATATAAGTTAGCTTACATCATTAATATGGATAGCATAATAATAATGCATTACCTAGTCATTAGATAAAATCTGATTCTGTTTTTAGCAAAAGACTCCTATAAGCGATCGTCGTCCAGTCATCGTTACTCGTTAATCGTTATCACCATTTGTACATACATTAATATTGGAAAAGTAAGATAGTACTCTTATGAGTGAAGAAAATTTTTGTGTTTACCTTATTGGACTACACATACTCATCACATACAAATGATATAATATAGTTTAAATAAAAAAAAAAAAACGATATTTTAAATTTAAATGTATTATGTAGCTACCGTTGTTGGTGGGAATATAGGATTAAGACAGGGGAGGCTAAAATAAAAGTTACACCTATGGGTCCAACCTAAATCGACAGAACCAAACAAGACTATTATAAAGTGAATCTAACAGAGACCATTTAAGCTGAACGATAAGGCAGAATGAAAAATCTAGCGTTTAAATTGGTAATGTATTACAAATAACATTATTATTACATTATAACATATTATATTTATCATTTCTAATCAAAAACTATTTCATAATACCTAGGTATCTCAGTAGCATTATAGCCAATATTAGAATTTATCATTGATGTACAAATATACAAAATCATAAACTTATAACACATACGTACAACATGAATATAAGAGCCATAAAAATAATTGGTAAATGTTTAATTAAAATTTACCTTGTATGGAAATTGACAGCGTTTGTATAATATTTGGTAAAAATACAATTCTACAATTTAATATTTATTATACGTAATACAACTAAAGAATAGGTAGGACACATGTCATTATAGTCTTAAAGTACTTAGGTAGGTACCCAATTTTACTAAGAAAACCGATTCGGTCCATAGCTATTATTTTAATACCAAACAAATGTTTGTATCTTCACCAATAATTTGAAAAATATTTTCGAAAAAGAAAATAGAAAACCTAAACTTGAACAACCGTTTCGATGATATACCGCTTTCTGGATAAAATACCAAAATATTTTTAAATTCAAAACAACCAATACCTTTTTCGATCGAAGCCTATCTATAAATCACACTGCACACAACTGCACGTCGTAATATATCATAAATCATAATTAGGTACCTTACTATATTGATAGTAATTTTAGTAGGTAGGTAGGTGGCTTGATGGCCGGAGAGTACCGACCTATTTGAAGACATATCACAAATACGATACCGTGTAACTTAACTTTTCTAAAAGTTACATCAAAATTATACAGTTGAATCACTTGAATCTAAAAATCATATTTTAAGTTTCTACTTAATACTAATTTTACTAATTATAATGTACATATTATAATTTATTCAGGGGTTAAAGTGGGGGGGGGGGCGTAGGAGGACTCAGTCCCCCTACCTCTGACGGCGGTTTAAAAGAGTCCCCTTTAACAAATTAGGATTTTATACATTTTAAGACATTATTCATAAAATTATATATGGAATGCTTAAAACTATATGGAGACATTAGTCCCCTCTGGAATTTTTTCCTCTTTAAACACGGAATTATTATAATCAATTGCATATAAATATATAGTATTTATATAGGTACCGAAAAACGTTAATAATTTGAACACACAAATACGATCACCTACAGCTGATTTGCATGGGTCATAGGTATTACCTTTTGTTAAGTACCTTTTGGCATTTTCTAATAGCTGTTCAATATAGTAATCAGAGGGCGGGTTTTTTTAATAAAAATAATTTTATACTTTTACCTGAATCAAATAATGTAAATTGAAGCTGAAAAGGTACACTAATAAATAAGCACCTACTAGTAAATTTTACTACACGCAAAGCTTCCAATTTTATTTAGTAGGTACCTAGTTACCTACCTAAGTACATACCTTCTTAATAAACAAGTTGGGACTTTAACTAACACAATATAATATTTTATTTTATACCTAACATAATACTATTTCAATTAGCCTTATAAAATACCTGTAAGCTACGGCTGTACTCATCATTACAAATTATGTATTATGTATTATGTATACCTAAGTCACCTATGTACATACCTACTTACAGTGTCCTAAACAAAACTAGGTAGATACCTAATTTAAAAGATGAAATTATAAATTATCCGACTTGTGGACAATACAAAATAGAACATGCACTGACAAGGCCTGAAGTTTTTTAGACCATACCATTTTATCATTGTACTATAATGTTGCACCATTGCCAGCTTATTGTTTATTTACTTATTGCAAAACGATTTACAGGTAAAACCACAGATTTAAAAATTAATGTACACCTTTTAAGTAAACTTTAATTGGAGGTATAATTCTTGATCTAAAGTTATATATTTATTGTTATAAAATTTACTATGGCTTATACATTAAATTAATAAAAAAAAACAACAATTTTAGTAATAATAACAGCCAGCAAATTGACTATAATAGTAATAAAAATATTTCAAAACATCGGTACCTAAATTAGTTTTAGTATGCTATACTTAAGAGGACGCCATACCGACGGTTTTCCGTGGTAAAAACATGGTTACGGAGACTGAGTAGAACTCCCTTAATTTGGGTTTTAGAGTGAAAACACCTATTATAAAACTGAAAGAGGACAACATTTTGAAGGGCACCACGCTGCGTTTTTTTTAAAAATATTAATTAGTTAATTTTTAAAAAAGGTATAGTTCTTTAAAAATATCATTATTTCTTAACAATGTACTAAGTGTTTAAATTGGATTAATAGAAAAATCGCAGCGTGGTGCCCTCCAGAATTTTATCTTCTTTTAGTTTTATAATAGGTGTTTTCACTCTAAAACCCAAATTAAGGGAGTTTTACTCAGTCTGCGTAAGCTTGTTTGCCGTACATTTTAAATATTGTTGATTTTTTCCGTCAAGCAGGTGCTGTTCCTAGCGGCATATAACATTCAAGTCGCGCCGTCATCTTTGGTGACGTGCGGCGGCCCCCCACCATGATCTGTTATTGCATAATGATAATATACGGTCGGTGGGTACGAATTTATTTATAACTTATTGAAATCCACCGATTAGATTATAATTATTATTATTTCCATTTACGGCGTTCCACAAATTATAATCACGAATCACAATCGTATTAATCGTATAGACTATTGACTTCATTGACAAACACTCGAGCGCGCAATTCGGACATTCGGTCATATTTTATAGTTTATACTTTATACTAGATATTTGGACTATTATTTCTGAGTTTTGTTTTTGCGTTTGGTCATATTATTATAATGGCAAATAAAAAAAACAATAAAAATAGAAGTACCAGGCCAAAGGGTGGTAGAGCACTTGCATATGCACGAATTTACAAGACAACAAACAAGTAAGTTCTCGAGAAAATTCCCAATTACCTTTTTTGATTCGTTTACATTTAAACGATATGTAAGTATTAAAGTATACAAACAAATATATAATGTATATATTACATATGTATTAGAAAAAAAATCAAAAAAATTAAAGACATTGGTAGTTTATTTTATAAACAAATCAAGACTCGTCACTAATGAGTAATAACTGAATCAAAAAGTATACGGTGGTGTTATCGTTAAAAATATAAAAAAAGGTGTTTTTAGTTATTTTTGTTTTTAAACATTTTTAAAAACAAATCAATACAATTTGTAATTTAAATTTATAATTTAAATATATTTAGACAAAAAGTTACTCCTAAGCAGAAGGATAATTCTTATTTGGACACTCATAATACGGTGAATTCGATTACATTGAATATTGAAGATTCAGACGCATCTCCCATAATAGGAAATGATGGATCCATACCATGTACATCAAGAAACCTAGAACTGTTTGATACTAACGAGTCAATTACATCAAAGTAGGTGTAATAAATAAATCTTAGATTGTATGCATAGGGCATAGCGATGAATGTATTGATTTGATTTTACAATGATGTGTGTTTTTATTTGTGTCTGTCATCACGTTTTGAGGCAGTAAAATGCTCCAATTTTCTTCACCTGCAACTTTACTGATAGGAAGGTGAATATAGATGGTACTTTGGGGGGTCAAAAGTATAAAATGTTCAATACTTTTTAAACACAGCGGGTAAAAACCCACAAAAAATCAAGGAAAAAACGGAAATTTTTACGCAACGCACTTTTTAGGAAAAATCAATTTTTTTTTGGTGTTACACTAAAAATAATAACAGTAAATACATGAAATTTTCACCAAACGTTTATATGTATAATTTCAATACACCATCAAATTTTCAAAAAATGTTGACTTTTATTGAGCTATTTATAAGCATTATAAATTTTCGGTTTTTTTTCGTTTTTTTTTTTGCTAACGTCGATGAAAATGTATTCGCTCTGTCAAAAAACTTAAAAGTTTAATAAAGATTCTTCATAATTTGTTTGAAGTGAAAATCAAAAAAAAAGTTGAGCGTAATTATTTGATTGTTTTTTATTAGCGTCTAAAGTTAGAAATTTGAAAAAATACGTAAAAATCACGAAATTTCGCTGTTTTTTTTTATTGAGAAATTCATAAACATTTTTTGGTTTGAGTCTAAGATTTGAAAATTATGGTGTAACATAAAAAATCGTTTTTACACAAATATTTGTGTAGACACGGAAAAAAATACACATCAGTATAAAACCAATACATTCACTCGGTTCAGAATTTAAAAATTAATAATATTAAAAATATATACAATATATAAAAATTATATTCAATTTTAAAACAACTGTAATATATGAATATTATTGTATAATATTCTAGTTATGAATTATTAGAACCAATAGAATCATCAGTCGTAAATCATGAATTGAGCGTATCATTTCAAGACTCGTCATTAACAACTGAATCAAAGTATATATACGGTGGTGTTATCGTTAAAAATATAAATTAAGGTGTTTTTAGTTATTTTTGTTTTCAAAAATTCCAAAATACTATTTTTTAGACAACTTGAAGGAAGGAGAATTGTGGATATTCGTCATATCTTTAATCAAATACAAAACTGTAAACACAAGGGTGGCTTTGGCTGTTCGTTTATGGATATGAAGTTTGAGAATGAAATTATGAAAGGGTTTTCGTCAGTTTTTTATTTTCGGTGTAAAATGTGTGATATAGTGGACCAAATTACAAGCGAAAGTCCTGAGAAATTATACATGCCAATTAATAAGGCTTTGGTGAATGCGACTTTAGCTATTGGTAGGTTTTTTATGGTCGTATGGATAATAATTAGAATTTTTTTTTAACAAACTTTTTTTTTCTAAATTATATAATCTACATAAAATCAGGTATTGGATATTCTCAATTAACTGAACTTTCCGCAATTATCGATGTGCCATCAATGGTAGATGCTACTTATCAAAAATTATTGAGTAACATGGGAGATCTTGTACACGACACCGCCTGGGACGAAATAAAAAGAGCTGGAGACGAAGAAAGAAAAATCGCATTAGAAGAAGGAAATACAGACGAAGATGGAATTCCAATGTGTACTGTCATAGCAGATGGCCAGTGGTCTAAGAGGAGCTACAAGACCAAATATAACGCTTTGTCTGGAGCTGTAATTTCTCCGTATGATTTCAATGAAACTATATAATAAATTTAATTATATTTTTGACAGGCCACAATTATTGGGTATAAAACTGGAAAAATATTATTTATTGGAATCCGTAATAGTTATTGTGCTGTATGTCAAAGAGCATCAGCAAGGAAGGAAGACAAACCAGATCACAGATGTTTCCTCAACTGGAATAAACCTTCTACTGGAATGGAAGCCGATGGCATATTAGAAGGGTTTTTAAATAGTTACCAAATGCATGGCCTAAAATATAATAAATTAATTGGTATTAATTCAATTTATATATAATTACAATTAAATATACTTTTATTATTTTCTATAAGATACGGTTAAAGACTAAGGCAAGACGGACTTTTTGTGTACTTTATTTTATAGGAGATGGAGACAGTAGCGTGACAAAACGGTTAAATGAAAGATTACCTTATGGATCTAATTTTCATATCCAAAAAATCGAATGTTCAAATCATCTGTTACGAAATTATTCACAGAAAATGACGGCTTTAGGGAAAAAAACTGAGTATCCCATATTATTACGAAAACATATATTATCACATATTTTACGGTTTCGTACGGACGTGACTAAAGCTGTTCATTACAGAAAGTTTAGTAACAAACCTAAAGAAGATCAAATTTCAGGTACATAATTCCCACTAATAAAAATTATAAAACATAAAGTAAATTAAATTTGTATTTTTACCTTGCAGATTTAAAAAAAGATATTTTAAATGGTCCATATCACCGATTAGGACAACACATAAATTGTGATGATTATTTTTGTTCAGGGACTTAAGTGGGTGAAAAAAATTTGGTTCCAGATGCTGAAAAATGCGGAATGATGAGAGAAATAAAATATATTATTTCACGTCTTGTGAACAATGCGTCATCTTTAATCGAAGATGTAACTAATAACTTATGTGAACAATTTAACAGTGTCATAAATAAGCACATAGGCGGAAAGAGGATAAACTTTTCACAAGGTCGAAACTTTGAGACAAGAATCGAAGCCGCTGTTATTGCGTATAATTCTAAGAAATATTTAAGAACAATTCATAAAAAAATGTTAATGACTAGTCCAGGTAAACTAAATAAAAATATATTAATTAGATAATTGAGTAAAATCAGTTTGTAATTATAAAATTCTTATCTTTGGAATATTTCTATTTTTTTAATTTTAAATTTATTAGAAAATATTTTGTTTTAAAAGAACAAATTTAATTGACATTTATTCAATAATTATTCTAAGATAATGAGTTTCTTCCTTTGATATTTTATATATACTTATGTAATTACAGGAAAAATTGGTAAAAAATATTTAAAAAATATTAGTAGAGTAAGAACTAACACCGCTATGAGACGAAGAAGATTAGTTTATGAAGGAACTAAAAGGAAGAAATTACACTTCGGAGCTCCTGATAAAGAATATGGTCTGGCAGAACCATTGCTTGAGACACTAAGCGAGGAACAGCTGAATGAAAAAAAGCTTGATTTTATTAATAAGTTATCACTTGTTAATAACATAGATATAGAGAAAAAAACAAGGGAACAAAATCAAAATTTTGAGTGGTTCCAACAACGTAAAATTAGACTAACAGCATCTAAATTCGGGGAAGTGTGCAAAATGAAACCTTACACAAGCTGTAAAAAAAAAGTCCATTCAATGCTGTATAAACTTCCAGCTAAGTCCAAAGAAATGGATCACGGAATAGAGTTTGAACTACATGCTAGAACTCAATTTGAAAATATGTTCAACTTGAAAGTTACATTATGTGGTCTTATTATCGATTCTGAATTTCCTTACTTAGCTGCAAGTCCAGGTATTGTATAGTTATTATTTATAATTAGGTACTTACTTACATTTTTACTTTTCCAATAATTAATATTGTT